TTGAAGTTTGGGCTTTAATTTTTTCCTTGCAAATTATATTGTTGATCAATTTTCCAAGTGTAGGTGACCTGTTTAGCTAAGCGTGGTAGGTTGGGTTTTCCAGAGATATGAGCACATCAAAATATGTACTATGCTACATGCTCTTACTGCAGTATGACAGTGATACTCTTATCAAGAGGAGAGTTCCAAATTCCCTCCACTTAACTCTGGATGGACTTTTGTAAATGCCTTGTCCAACAGAAAGTGGCAGAAGTGAGGCTGTGTGAGTTTTAAGGATGGGTCCTTAAAGAATTTTGGCTTTGCTTGGTTTATTCTCTCTCTTGGCAATCCCAAAGTAACATGTGAGAAATCTGACCACCCTGAAGTGACTGTGCTGGAGAGACCACGAGGAGATGCCGTCTAAAACTAAACAGGGGTGCCCCTCATGGTTAGAGTCTTCCCAGCTAGTCATGTGTACAAAGAAGCCTGCGACATAACCCAGCACCAGCCATTGTCTGACTACAACCTCATCAGAGGTCCAGGGACAGACATGCTATTGGAGATGCTCCAAAACTCTTGATCTAAGGAAACCAGAGAAGTAATGAATGACAACTGTTCCCATCTAAGTTTCTGAGTTTTGTGGTATTTCATTATACAGATGTAGATAACTGGAAATATAGGTTCTGTGTGTGTTTAATTTTTTGTATAGAAATTTGATCACTGTTTGGTTTAGGCTTTTTGATCTTTGTTTCATATTGTGGTAGCTGTTTGTCAGTGAATATTGATTTTCTTTTCATATTGCTTTCTTCTACTTTATTGGAACATTCTGCTATAAATTCTTTATCAGCAGTGAGTGACTTTTTCATCTAAAACATGTATCCCTTTCATTTATTACCAAAATTTCTCCCTTAGGAATAGCTTTAGCGGCATTTCAGGTGTTTAATGTTGTGCATTTTAATGAAGGCACAGCTCATGAAAACAGTTATTGAACTGTTGAACGTTTCATGAATATTGAAACAGTATTAAAATTGAAGAGAAATGTACTAGCAACTGTCTATCGTCATTTGTGAGAAGATAGTTCTTTCATTTTAACGAATTCCCAGAGAATGTTTATATTTGAAGTGGCTATTATCCAACTCAGAAAAATAGACAATATTATTTATAATAGAGTAGGTTTGGAAGATTCTGTATTAATTGTAGAGTGGTAAATATTTGTAAATAGTCACATTGTATTCCCACTGTATTCTTTTGAAACAGGTAAGGAATATTTTATTTAGATCAATAACTATAGTACATAACAAAACTCTTTTAAAAACCTAAGATTATAAATTATATGTGCTTGTGGAGGTGGTGAAAACTGAAAACAAAATTTTAAAATATTGAACCTTGAAAATGTAATAATCTATCAACTTAAAATATACAATAGGCAGGAAATCACTACTGTGAAATTTAATAAGATTTCAAGATGTTTGGGTAATTTTTCTTGCTTAGTGTAGAAGCAGTTCTGAGTACAGTTTAAGACTTATTTGCTCTTAAGTAAACTAAATGGATTAAATGACCAAGCAGGTTGTTTATTGACTCTGGTAAGACTTATTAGTGCCTGTTTGGTAGTATGGGTAACAGAAAAATTGTACTATGTATGGGTATTCTACCTTGTTCAAGAAAGTGTTCAACTCATCTTACATAAATAGAATGTACACAATAAAAAACAGAAATTAATTAAATGAATAAACCTGGAAAATTCACAAATATGTGAGATTAAACACCATGCTACTGAACAACCAGTGGATCAAAGAAGAAATAAAAAGAAAAGTCAAAAAATACCTTGAGACAAATAGAAATGGAAATATACTAAAACTTGTGGGATCACAAAAGCAGTTCTAAGAGGGAAGTTCCTAACAATAAATGCCTACAGAAGGCAACAAGAAAAGTCTCAAACCTTACACCTCAAGGAACTAGAAAAAGAAGATAAAAACAAATCCTCAAGTTAGTAGAGGGAAGGAAATAATGAAGATTAGGGCAGAAATAAATGAAATAGAAACTAATAAGATAATAGAAAATAGCAGCAAAACTAAGATCTGGTTCTTTGAAAAGAGAAACCAAATTGACAAACTTTAGCTTGATTCACCGAGTAATAAGAGAGAAGACTCAAATAAATAAAATCAGAAAAAAGAAGACATTTCAACTTATACCACAGAAATGCAAAGGACCATAAGAGACTATGATGAACAACTGCATGCAAACAAATTGAGCAACCTAGAAAAAATTTTAAATTCCTAGAAGTATACAACCTACCAAGACTGAATGGTGATTAAATAGAAAATCTGAACAGACCAATTTAGTAGCCAAAAACTTCCTGGCAAATGAGAATTCAGACAGCTTCACTGTCTGAATTCTGCCAAACCTTGAAAAAGAATTAATAACCAGTCCTTCTCAAACTCATCCAAAAATTAAAAGAGGAGGGAAAAATTCCAAACTTGTTTTATGTTACCAAAATTACCCTAACACCAAATGCAGACAAGGATGCCACAGGAAAAGAGAATTACAGGCCATGAGGGTTTCTCAGATTCATTGGTAAAAAATTCACCTGCCATTGCAGGAATCACAGGAGACAGGTCAGGAAGATCCCCTAAAGGAAAAAATGGCAACCTATTCCCGTATTCTTCCCTGGAAAATTCCACAGACAGAGAAGCCTGGCAGGCTATAGTCCATGGGGTTGCACAGAGTTGGACACGACTGAAGTGACTGAGCGTGCACGCATGAATCCCTGATGAACATACATGCAAAAAAAAATTTGTTAACAAACTATTAGCAAACTGAAAAACAACACAGTGAAATGATCATACACCATGATCAAGTGGGATGTTCCAGGGATGCAAGGATGGTCCACAGATCAGTCAGTGTGATACATCCTGTTAGCCAAATGGAGGATAACAGTTACACGACCATATCAGTAGATGCAAAAGAAGCATTTGTCAAAATTCAACATCTCCTTTATGAAAAATGTTCTCAACAAAGTGTGTATAGAGGGAATTTACCTCATGGCAATAAAGGCCTATCCGGCAAGCCCATACCTAACATCATTCTCAGTGCTGAGAAGCTGAAAGCCTTCTTTCTAAGATCAGGAAAAAGACAAACATTCCCATTCTCACCAATCCTATTCAACCTGGTCTTGGAAGTCTTAGCAAAGCAGTCAGGCAAGAAAAAAAACAGAAAAAAGATATCCAAATTGAAAATAAAGTAGCAAAACTGTCACTGCTTGCAGATGACATGATATTATATACAGAAAACTCTGAAGCCATCAGTGCAATCTTTATGAAAATTCCAATTGCATTTTTAAAGAAATAGTACAAACAATCCTAAAATTTTTATTAAACTAAAAGTCACTCAGTTCTGTCCAACTCTGTGACCCCATGGACTATACAGTCCATGGAATTCTCCAGGCCAGAATATTGGAGTGGGTAGCCATTCCCTTTTCCAGGGGATCTTCCCAACCCAGGAATTGAACCCAGGTCTCCTGCATTGCCGGAAGATTCTTCAACAGCTGAGTCACAAGGGATGCCCATGAATACTGGAGTAGGTAGCCTATCCCTTCTCCAGCGGATCTTCCTGACCCAGGAATTGAACTGGGGTCTCCTGCATTGCAGGCAAATTCTTTACCAACTGAGCTACCATTTGTATAGAGCCACATAAAACCCCAGACAGCCAAAGCAATCTCAAAAAAGAACAACAAAGCTGAAGTCATCACATGCCCTGATTTCAAAGATATAGCAAATTATATTACCAAGCTGTAGCAAATGAAACAGTATGATATTGATCTACAAGCAGGCACATAAATCAATGGGAGAGGTTAGGTATTCCAGAAATAAACCCAGGCATATGTGGTCTATTAAGGAGACAACAGAGATGAAATAATATACAATCAGAAAAGGAGTATTCAGTAAATGGTATTGGGGGAACTGGACAACCACATACTAAAGAATGAAACTGGGCCACTGTTTTATACCATACACAAAAAATGCACTGAAAATAGATCAAAGACTTGTATGTAAGACCTGAAATCATCAAACTTCTAGAGGAAAACCTAAATGATAAGCTTTTTGACATAGGTCTTAGCAGTGACTTTTTAAATCCGACACAAGTAGCAAGAGGAAGAAAAACAAATCAAGCAAGTGGAAATACTTCATACTAAAAAAACTTTTGCAGAGCAAAAGAAAGCATGAACAAAATAAAAAGGAAAACTACTGAATGAGAGAAAATATTTGCAAGTTTTATATCTTATATGAGGTTAACATCTAAAATATATGAGGTGCTCATATAACTCAACAGTAAGAAAACAAAACAAATCTAATTTAAAAAATCATAGATCTGAATAGACATTTTCCCAAATAAGACATACAGATGGTTAATAGATAAATGAAAAAATACTTAACATAATGAATCATCAGGGAATGCAAATGAAAACCACAATGAGAGAACACCTTATACCTCTCTGTTAAAATAGCAATTATCAAAACACAAGAAATAACAAGTGTCAGCAAGGATGTAGAGAAAAAGGACCCTTTTTGCACTTTCAGTTAGTAGCTCAGTTGTGCCCAAGTCTTTACAACCCCACTGACTGTTGCTCACCAGGTATCTCTGTCCATGGAATTCTCCAGACCAGGATACTGGAGTGGGTAGTCATTCCCTTCTCCAGGGGATCCCAAGCCAGGGATTGAACCTGGGTCTCTGGCATTGCAGGCAGATTCTTCACCATATGAACCACCAGGTAGAGTGGGGATATAAATTCATATAACCACTATGGAAAACAGTATGGAGGTTCCAAAAAAATTAAAAATAGAATTACCAGATGATCTAGAAATTCCACTTTTAGGTACTTACCTAAAGAAAATGAAAACACTAGGTCAAAAAGATATATGCACCCCCATGTTCATTGCAGCATTATTTACAACAGCCAAGATATGGAAAAACTAAAGTGTCTTTACATAGATAAATGAATAAAGATGTTGTGGTGTGTGTGTGTGTAAATGAAATACTATCCAACCACAAAAGAAGAATGAAATCTGTTTGTGACATCATGTTTGGATGTAGATAGCATTAGGTTATGGGAAATAAATCAGAGAAATGCCATATGACCTGTCTTATATGTGGAATCTTAAAAACAAAAATCAAAAGAACAACAAAAAAATGAAACTCATGGATACACATATCGGTTGGTAGTTACCAGAGACAGGGTGGTGGGTGGGAGAAATGACTGAAGGGAATAGAAATTTATGAAAAAATTAAAAAAAAAAACAAAAACCAGAAGCACAGTGCTATGCATTCACCATTAATGTGTCATACAAAGTAACTCATCAGCTTAGAAACTCCCCTCTGCTTACATTCCCCATCTGTTCCTACATGTTGTCTACCTTTCCTGTTAGAACCATATTTAAAAACAAATGAAGTAAATGAGTCAAATAAAACAGAAGGGCAATAAAATAAGATGAATTCAAGAGTGTGGTTAAAGCTTTCATGTTGCTAGGTCTTGTTAATCGTGTCTTAACAGTGAACCAAAGCGTGGTGACACTGGCGGTTTTCATCTTTCCACTCTACACTTGTGTGAGACTGAGCACATGGTCTTACTGTTTTCTCTTCCTCTAATGATGGAAAACCGGCTTCTATCACTAGAGGCAATGTCTTCTAGAGCTGAGTCAAGGAGTAGAACTGGTGATGAGGGATATAAACATACTGTATTCCTGAATGAAGGTGACTGTTACACAGTTTAGAATCTTTAAGTCACTGGCACTCATATTGCAGAAAATACAAATCAGTCTTACGATTCAAACTGATGTCTTCTTGTCTTGGGGAAGAGTAAAATGCATGTTGACTGGGCCGTCACTTATCTTCTATTTAGAATTCTCCCTGTCCCTCTGTGCACATAGATATGTAAAGGACATGGATATTCTTTAAGCAAGGCTCGAGGGAAAATAAATGAAAACAGCTGTTGGTTTAGGGTGGTGGGATTATGGGCTTATTTTTATTTCATCTTTATGTTCTTTTTAATGTGGTTTTAAGCATCTTTGTGATATAAATAGGAAAAAATATTAAAGGTTTATTACATGTCAAATGTTACTAGCCTCCAGAGTATTTGAAGTCTTTAGAGTTGAACCTCTCATTATGCAGACATCCTCGTTCAATCATTCTGGCAAAGCATTCTGGGAAGCATAGAATCCCAGTGGAGACACTGTTCTCACACAGTCACAAAGACCTTAAGAAGCAGAATAACTTGCTGTGTGTATTAAGAGTGTGATCAGTAGCCTTTCAGCAAGAGGCACCAGGGCTGTCTTTCTGAGGAAGCAGAAGTCACCTTGTATGTGGAAGAATTGTAAGACTTGGGAGGTGTGGAAATGAGGAGTGATTGGTGGTGGTGGCCAGATATGTTCACTTCTCGGGCCATCCAGGCATGTGGTTGAATTGCACTTCCGGTTCCTGACTAGTTATGGCCATATATTGTGTTGGGACTGAGCAGCTGACTTCTGGTGCAAGATCTTATAGAGTTTTCTTTTGCCTTGGAAGGTCTCCTAGGGATGTCAGAGCCAGTGGTTGCCCTGTCTGCCTGGATGCTTGAGTGAAAAAAGTGGACAGAGCTGACCTACTAGCCACAGTGGACCAGTAACAGTCAGGAAGTCTGTCGTTACAAAGCACTTGCTTGTTACCACAACAATACTTAACCTAATCTAATGATATAAAGAACAAATATATTCAGAACAGAAAACAGTATTAACGAAGATATGAGAAAATACACAGCAAAAAGTTGATTTTTAGTTGAAGCCTAGAACCATTAGTGCGAATGGGGAGAAACAAATTGTAAAGAGCTGAGAGCTATCACGGCAAGCCTGGAACTTTGGGTTAATGATTAAGAGAAAGCAAACCTTGTGTCTGGGCTTTGCCTTTAATTCACTATGCTATTTTATATTCTATCCCTAGACTGAAACTTTTGCAGAACTTTTATTTAAGGGAGGGAATTTCCTGTAAAACCTTGACCAGCCTTAAGAAAGAAACCACTTTGCTAGTGTAATATCTGAAATGTTGCCTTCTTTCCACATGGTGGCCATTCAGTGAAGTCCGCCTAGTTGTCTGACTGTGGTCCCTCACCCCTGCACCTTGGCACTCTTCCTGGGGCTTTGTACAGTGACTGATAGAACTTAGCGCTAAGCATGATTTTATTGGGGTGGGCAGGAGCTCTCTGCCATGAGCAAACGTCTTGATCCTCTGAGTCAAGTTTGTGTATCCATTGCTCTATGTTACCTTTTCCTCCAAAGAGTGATGAAAAGGAGTTAGGGTTTATAAAATGATTGAAGAGACATCAGGGGGGAAAAAAAAACACCTCTGTATGAATGAGATGGTAATAATAATAAAGTGAGAACTGAACCAGATATTGGTGAAGGAGATTTAGTTTGATTTGCATCAAACAGGCTTAATGCTGTGAATGACTCGTAAAGTTAAATCTTATTTCTGAAGTTCTTAAATATTCCCATTCCTAACCAGGGATTTAATAGCATTTTAATGCAGCTTTTTACATGTGAATTAATATAATAAATGTCAATGTTGAATAGAATAAGGTCACATTTTACTACTTTGACCAGAAGTGTAATCTTCCAAGATTCAATTTTATTACTATTATAACAGTAATACTGGATAAGGTCACCAGTATTTCTTTCCAAATAATGTAATATATGATGACAGCTTTTACACCAACTTTAGTTTTGGTAATATGGATTTATATTCTGAAACTTGTTGACAAAGACATACCACAGACATTTCCTTGTCAAATGGCAGGCTGGGGAAAATGCTTCCCTCTAATTTATGGGGAATTTGAAAATGGGTAAATGACCTGGTTGAAATGTAGCATTTTTCTTGATGATTTTATCCCCCTGCTTACAGATAATTAAATTTTTGAGGGGTTTAGTCTCCAGCCTGAAAGGGAAAGGTGATGTTTAAAGACATTCCAATAAGTAAAACAAAAATATCTGCCTGTTCCCTGACTGTGTACAAGCCAGCTGGCTTGGCCTGAACAATTCATTTGAGTGACGTGTTCATTGAATCAGAAGAGTTCAGGGTTGTCGGGGGTGGTAAAGGGCAACTAGCAAAGACGTTCACCTCGACCCTCCTCTGCAGCATCCCCCCTAAGTGATCAATCTCTGCTGGCATTGCTCTGCTGGGGGCAGTAAGGGTACCTATCTTCTGGTGGTGTTGCAAAGATTAAGTGAGGCAATATGTGGAAAGTGCCCCATGTCTGCTGCGTTGGAAGTGCTGAGTAAACGCTGCAGATTTTTTTTATTATGAGTGTTCCATGGGCCACCACCTCTGGAGACAGTGTATCTCCATCTTCATAGACCTTTTATTCTTAAAATGCTTGGTCTTATACTGAGCCAAAAGGTAACTTTTATACTTAATTATTAATTCATAGTAGTTTGGGCTTTATGAATCATGGATGATAATGATGATGCCAACACCTGCTTATTAATGTTTGTCGAGTGCTTTCTATGTGTCAGTCACTGTAACCAGTGCATAGTCACTTTAAAAATTATTGTAGATTTCGTCAGAGTACTCAAAGGGATGTTCTTAGTCACCAAGTTGCATCTCCATGGACTGAAGCGTGCTAGGCTTTCCTGTCCTTGACTATTTCCCAGAGTTTGCTCAGACTCATGTCTGTTGAATTGGTGATGCCATCCAACCATCTCATCCTCTGCTTCCCGCTTCCCTTTTGCCTCAGTAGGAGTAGGAATATTATTAAGGATACCCATTTACCTTCAATCAGATTCAGTGGTTATTTAGGCTTTTGGCATACTTGCTTCATCTATATGCTTCTGTTTTTGCTCACATATTTTAAGGCAGTTCTTAGAAATAATTTGATCTTAACTCTGCATACATTGGTGTGCATCTTTAAAAACTAAACAAATATCCTATTATAACTAGAATGCCAATGGGGACACATGTACACCCATGGCTGATTCATGTGAATGTATGGCAAAAACCACCACAATATTGTAAAGTAATTAGGCTTCAATTAAAAAAAAATGGTTGGATCAGAATCCAAGTAAGATCCTCATGTTATATTGGCTTATTTAGTACTCTTTTAGTACAATCTTTTATAGATTTTGATTAAAAAAAAAAAAGCTGGGTCAGTTTCCCTGTGGACCATTCTGTAATCTGAATTTTTCTGTTTGCTTTCCCTTGGTGCTGTTTAACTTGTTTCTCTATATTTTGTGTTTTGTGAAAATGAAGTTAGCTGTAGGGAGGGTTGTCTAGTAGTGCGGATACTAGCTACATCTGACTATCTAAATAAGTATCAAATAAAAGCTTTTAAAAATTGAATATTGAATTGCTCGCTTGCTTTGGCCACATTTCGAGCATATGCCCGTGGTGAAATTTTACAGAGCATAAGAAGAAAACCTCTGATACTTTTCAGAAAGTTCCCCTAAGCAGTGTGGTCTAAGAGTTGATGATTTTCAGACTGACGCATTTGTAGTAGTGCTGTGTGCTTCATATCACATCTTACAAGGAGGCACAGTGTCTGGATGCCCTGCTCTTAGGATCCTGAAACTGATCATCACATTTAGGTGATGACACCTAGGTCCTCCCATTATGAATTTCCCAGCAATCTTTCATCTAAAGCAGGAGTCCTTAATGGTTTTAATCAGGGGTCTTATTTGTCACTTTGTGAAACCTGTAGCTCTCTTCTCCCGAAAACATTTTTATGTGAGGAAAATTAAGTCTATAAAAACACAAAGGAAATTGATGTTACTGAATTGTGGTTATTATAATATTAAAGGCAAATTTATGATACAGTGAAATATACACTACTTTATTACACAGTAAATAACCAGAACTGTTGGCAGGTATAATGACTGCTAGAATTTTGTAATACTCGTAGAGCTGATGAATCATTGTGGAGTAAATAATGCTTCAAGATATCTGCAATAACCATAAAGTTATCACTTTGTATTTTTTAAAATATGTGTGATAAATATTATGAAAAAATCATAAGCACTACTGTTACTATGGTTTGTTGCTTACATTTGTGATTTAAGGAGATGTAAAATTTCAGTCAAAAGTTAGTGAAAACAAATAAGCACTTTTTTTCCTCTCTCATCTTTATGTATTCTCCTTCTTCTCTGCATGCATATTTCCCTAAGTGTCCTTGGAACTCTACCTACCCACCCCCTGACTCCCCACAGGTTAACAACCCCTGACCTAAGCCCTAACTCAACCATTAATAATTTTACATAATTCAACTGTTTGATTAAGGGTTGAAAATAGTGACTTGTGTAAGTCTGTTATTCCTTTCACTTTTATTTATTATTTAATTTATTTATTTTAATTGGAGGCTGATTACTTTACAATATTGTATTGGTTTTGCCATACATTGACATGAATCTGCCATGGGTGTACATGTGTCCCCATCCTGAACCCCCCTCCTACCTCCCTCCCCACTCCATCCCTCTGGGTCATCCCAGTGCACCAGCCCTGAGCACCCTGTCTCATGCATCGAACCTGGACTGGCAATTCATTTCACATCTGATAATATGCATGTTTCAATGCCATTTTCCAAAATCATCCCACCCTTGCCCTCTCCCTCTCCCACAGAGTCCAAAAGACTGTTCTATACATCTGTGTCTCTTTTGCTGTCTCGCATACAGGGTTATCATTTTCATCTTTCTAAATTCCATATATACGTGTTAGTATACTGTACTGATGTTTTTCTTTCTGGCTTACTTCACTCTGTATAATAGGTTCCAGTTTCATCCACCTCATTAGAACTGATTCAAATGTACTCTTTTTAATGGCTGAGTAATATTCCATTGTGTATATGTACCACAGCTTCCTTATCCATTCATCTGCTGATGGGCATCTAGGTTGCTTCCATGTCCTGGCTATTATAAACAGTGCTGNACTCAATTCCTTTCACTTTTAGAACTGGAAAACTTTAAATAACTTTCCACCTCTGGAGCTCTTTGGTTACCTTGAAATACACAGTTCAAACAGAATAAATGATACCCATTTTGCAGATGAGATCACTGGGACTCAGAGAGTTTATATTCCCAAAGTTAATTAGGTAAAATGTGGTAGAAGTCAAGTGACATTGTGTCACTGCACATCACATGAATTCATCCTGGGTCACTCCACATTACACACACAAGAGTCAAGTTCTCTCTTCTTCTGCCATTTAGTCGTTTCTGTTCTAGTGTTTACTTGTCAGTTAACCTGCAACTTCTCTCCTTCCTAAACGACACTTTTCCACTGTTGTGGTTTGAAGATTGGTCCTTGTATATTTTTACTGCCTTTTCATACTGTTCATGGGGTTCTCCAGGCAAGAATAGAATAGTGGGTTGCCGTTTCTTCCTCTGAGACACAGTGGAAGACAGAGGAACCTGGCATGCTGCCGTCCATGGGGTTGCAGAGTTGTACACAACTTAGCAACTGAACAACAACGACCTTGTATATTCCTTTTCTTTTTCTCTGTTCTTCCACATCTATGCCTATCCCTTCTGTGAATGTGCTATACACCATCCCTGGTGGTTCCCCAGTTGACAGAAAACTCTATGAGTAGCCTTGCCAACAAAGATCAGAGTGAGAAATCGCATCCCTCAGCCCAATACCAGACTCGCATTCACAGTCTGAGATAAAATGTGTTTTATGGAAACAACATTTCTCTGTCGACTCATCTCGAGCTTATTCTCAACCAAAATTCCCAAGCTGTTTTCACACATGCTGCTGTGAAGTGAAATTCCTCCATCCTGTAGCTTAGCCAACGGCCAGCTAGATGCGGGGCTCACAGACTGGAAGGATTCTCATTTTGAAATTCATCTGAGGGCAAAACACAGGAAAAAGAAGACAACTTAGAGAATTTTTCTTTTGTGGGTGTGAAACATCATCTAGAAGAATAACAGTTATCTAACATTTACTTCTTGAAGTAAGGTCATTTGTTGTTATTTAGTCTCTTAAGTTGTGTCCGACTCTGTGAGACCCCATGGACTGTAGCCCACCAGGCTCTTCTTCATGAACTTTCCCAGGCAAGACTACTGAAGTGGATTGCCATTTCTTTTTCTACAGGAATCTTCCTGACCCAGGGGATCAAGCCCAAGTTTCCAACATTGCCAGGTGGATTCTTTACCAGTGAGCCACTTGTGTTAGTCACTCAGTTGTGTCTGACTCTTTGCAACCACATGGACTGTAGCCCACCAGGCTGCTCTGCCCATGGAATTCTCTAGGCAAAAAGACTG